TAACCCTAATACTTGATTCAGTGGAAGTTAGCTCAAAACTACCCGTATTGCAGGTGGTTTCTGTTCTCATGTCCTGTTAAGACGTCCACATATGTTAGCCCTACCAAGTAAAAATAGGATTAAGCAAGGCGTACTTCAATAATAATACTTCTGACGGAAAAGTTTAGGCAGGCCATCTGGACACTACAACAATTCTTTCCTTTAGCAGCGTAGGACTGTTCAACGACGAAAAAGCTTTTGTACCACTCCCAATTACGTCACCTGTTTGGAAAACACAAAGGGGCTGGTTTCAAACATCAGCAGATTCTTTGATAAGCATGGGACACTGTCCGTAAACGTTCAGTAACCGAATACTTGTTAGGACTGACATATATGGCCCCCTAAACAGGGCATCAGGACAGGAACCGCCGGAAATGCGGGTGGCCTTGCACCAACTACTAGTGGAGCCAGGGTTAGGTTTAAGTTTAGAATTGGGGTTAGGCTAAGGAGCTGGTCCAAGGCTAGATTTAAAGTCAACGGTTAGGTTATTCAGGATAAAGTTTGGGGTTAAGGCAAGGGCTGGTTTTAACTGCAGAGTCCCGGTTTAGGGTAGGGTTAGGGTAAAGATTAGGGCAACGGCTTAATTTTATATTAGGGTTATTGTTAGGCTTAGGACTCGGGAATATTTCGTTTTTTCCAGAATTATACTCCGATCCGCTTTTATTACTTGGGCGGCGAGTTCCTATTACCATGTCCTATTTAGGGGGTCACATAAGTCAGTCCTGCCGAGTAGTTTCGCATTGCCTGGAATGTCGCTACTATTCTTTTCGCAACCTTCGTTTAGCATTGTCATCCTTTTTTTTCATATTTTCTCATCTCAGCCTCCCTTACATTTTGTCTGTTCCAACGGCGTCAGAACTTTTGTCAATTGTTCGTTTAAATTCCACCCGTCTCACGCAAAACCCAGTTCTGCTGAACATTTGACGTCACCAAGGTTGTATGTGTTGGCCGGAAACCTATTGCCTCTGTTAGTTTGCGTCAATTTGCAATAAATTTTATCCGATTATGGATCCCGCCGCCAGAGATTTTATAGATGACGAAGGAAGAGTTCGTCATAGTGCTGTGTCCACATGCCTTTGAAATTTGCCGATTGCCGCCGACAGAGTTTAATCTCATGGCTCAGTAGACAGGGCTGAACGCGGCGACAAATCATAGCTGGACGTGGGTCACTGCGTGTCTGCCTGGTTAGACATCAACGTTAGAAATCTTCATAAATAAGCCCCGTACCAAGTGTATAATCCTTGTGGTCGAAAGTTCACTGAATGCAACACTGCAGCTCGGTTAGGTGTGTAGGAGACTTCGCTTTCTAAGAGACTGAACACTGGCGCCAGTGTCCGGTATCAGGTTATGCAGCGATGACAGTTTGCCCGTCGTAAGCTGGGACGTCCACTGCGTGACCCATGGAATGGTTGCAGGGCAGGTGAATTGGGCGTGAGTCACTGGATGGTGAGGTAGGCTTGCGCAGCATCTATCGCACTCTACCTTCCCACACTCAGCTTATTCGGACGGCAAGATGTCAAGGCCGGAGGTTGGTGTCGACGCAGTGACCGTAGCAACTAAACGGCTCATCTACGCGTGTCACACACACGGTCTTTTTCCGCTGCACGTGCTGGGGTTCCACTGCGTGGGGGTGACGGCTCCGATCTCACATCAGTGAGAGTTCCATGAAGGCTACATTAAGAGGAAGCCCTTAAGAGTGATTCTTAGTCCTTGAGTCAGTCAACCCACATACACCCCATACTGGTTACGAGAAGTTAAAGTTTAAAGAGGCATGACATCTTAAGTAACTGGCTCAAACCTGGGATGTACTTTAGAGTCATTCTATACCATGGGGACTCTTTCCAGAAATTTGAACTTCTAATGTTTTCGAATCAACTGCCTTTCCTCGGGTCCTGATTAATTCAGCATGAAAATGCGCAAAATGAAGTTCATTAATTTAAACGACGATGGGGGAGGAATTAACTCGATTTTGAGTTTAAGAGCACTTTGCTGACGGCGCAAAAAAGTTCTCTACTGCATGCGACACTCGAAAGTCGGCCAAGTCAATTCTAAAGGCACACATCGAATCACGGGACGTCGCAGTGAAAAATGGTTGCCGTTCTTATTGCTCACTCGCCAGCCTAGGTCCATCGTCCCCCCTTTACAATTCTGAAAATTAGCTGTCTAAAACATATGGAGAATTAATCGTATTAATTTTTTTAGTCCTTGGTATCATAATCTCACATGAACCAAAGAATAACGGAACGCCCACCCTTTATTTTGAGGTCATAATTAACATGTTGTGGCCTAGACGATAGCCTTGGAAACCGCGCGGCAGTTGAGCAGGTCAAATTATCATCCAACGCACAATCAAGGGCTTGACCAATTTATCAGCACTTAGGTTTTAAATAATTACAGTCTGTTTGAACATATCCAGATGAACATACTTTTCTAAACCAAACTCTGCAAAGAAATCCTACAATCTGTCGTACCACGAAACGGCCAAAGACCTTTTATTTTTGCACCGGGGGCGGCTGAGTCATCGGGTTGATTTTTTATGCTGAAACAGTTGGGTTAGGGTTTCCGTATGGACACTTTCACAGAAACGAAGCTCGGGCGGTAGTTCTAGTTTTAATAATCTGACGGTTTCCCCTTCTTTTCTGCTATCTGGTGGCTGTTCACATTATAATATTTTACCTGACAGCACGTAAATCATTTATATGAGTAGATAACCTGTCACCTACGTCGTTTTCTCAAAAACCTAAAAAATGTTATGTAAAACCTCGCTCAGACTTTTGATTGCGGACCCAGATGTTTCGATGGAAATTTTCTAAAGGCCTGATTATTGCCTGTCAGCTGTTTCTAAATCGTTTCTCGTGCTGAAACATGCCAAATATGGGAGCGCGTTCTCTTCGTTATCTGATTTCAGTAGAGTAGAACGTGTTGCAAGAACGATAGAGGACTATGTTTTCGTTTTACTTGCCCGTGTATTAGGTCGTTGTATCCGTCCTGAGGGAAATGCTGGAGTTTAAGCTGTCCCCAGCACTTGCAAGATAGACCAACGAAGGCTAATTCCGGCGCGTTGAGTCAGCGGCTCGGACTTGGCACTCAGGCACTGAAGGGTTTGAGTTCGAGCCCCACTCTGACTGACCTGGAAGTTGGGTAGAGTGGGCTGACGACAGCAAACAAGTCAGAACTGGTCGATACAGCTCTCTCCTCCCTGGTCTCGTCTAACAATGCCTGGGTAACAGTACGGCCGTCGTTGCTTGCACTGTATCCACCGCACTCTCTCTTCTCCCATCCATCAGGGCCTGTTGCCAAGATCGAGACAAAAAGGCCGGGGTCGGGATCGAGGGCTTAACAGCCTGTCTGCGCATGCCCCACACGTCCTCGAAGGATAGGCCAGGCTTCCCACCATCGGAAACTCTAGTAAATCAAACATCTATGAGTTACCTGAATACTGACCTTTGCTCTGAGGCCTTGCTGCGTTTATAAGTGACAGGAGCCCATGATTTCAAACGCAGATAATACGCCAGAAGTCGAACCGGTGGTACATGCCCAAAAGTGGAATTGTGACAATTGGCGTTATCATATAGGCGGCAGAGGGGGCAACTTGGGGGAATTAGGATAAGTCGTTTCTACAACGAAAAATGCACTCGTTACAAATCATACGGGCGCCGAAGACGGACCTACCCTCTCAAGGTGCCATTCCCCAGGGGCGCATGAAAGCATCCAGGTTAGAGTTACAGAACTACATTAAAACACCCCCCCTAAGAAGCCGACCGGATCGTAGCGATTCTCGCACACAAGCTGGACGCACTGAGTACCAGCAGCACTGTGATTTCAGACACTAGCCTCTGCTTGTGGGCCTAAATGGTGTTTTGGGAGTTCACGAATTGCACCTTCAGCGTGCAAGTGGAATGTCGGCGGTTCCCCGATAAGGCAAGAGTACACTTTCGAGAACTAGGTAAGGGCACACAACAAACCACTTCAGTGTAAGCAGATTAGGCGGACTTCCTGACTTTATCGTGAAACGCCTGAACCACCCTTTTTCTACCCCTAACACCAGAATTCTGCATTGCGAAAGTTCATCTGGTCTGCAGATTAAAGTGTGCAGGAGGTGAACTGCAAAAAAAAACTGCGCCAACTCCTGTTTGGGGTTTCACTCACCGCCTCTCGTTGTCCCCAGCGAGCCCTTTCTCCTGTCCCCTCCCTGTCCGCCCTGTTTTATGCCTCCTAAGGACACTCTGGCCAGAATTCCCATCAAAAGAATTTAACTGAGGTAAAATTCATTGCGAAAAGTGAAACCTTCCATCCGGCGGTTAGATGAACCGCCAGAGCCAGTGGCAGGTACGACAATCAGGAGTCAGACGAAAATCCGGGCTTCGGCTCTGTCGCCTCACTGCGTAGGTGACAGTCGACCTGAATTCCCGCTAGCCTATTGTTCGTGTCGTAAGTTGGTGTGACCTTGTGCTCCGACGGGGCTGCCCTAAACACACGCAGATGGTAATGTCTGATTTTATCTGACTAACCGACGTGTCTGCAGCTGCAGCAGCTGCAGGGCTGGGAGACACACACACACACAGAGCCAAACAAGTGTTTTGCTAGCCCCAACTACTTTCAAAATTCCAACGACCCCTACGCCCGACTCCTTCCCTGCCTGGAACTCCAAAATAAGAAGCTGCAAATAAAGGCCTGAGGACAAAATCCCACTGTAGGAGGAAATTAGAAAGATTTCGGGCTCAGGAAGCAGCGGAAGAGGGGAGTCGAGGCCGATGCAGTCTCTATGGCGTAACATCCTTCTGTCCGCGTGAGTCAGATACTGAACATCCTTTAACCTACGTGCACTGTCCTTTGTGAAGCAAATCACATTTTGCAATGGTCATTGGATCGTCTTTCTCTCTCCCCTGTAAACAATTACACTATAAATATAACTTTGTAAATCTGACGCTAAGGAAAGTCGGCAATAATGATAATGAATATTAGGGATTGGAGACTGAGTTACCGGCATTAATAACAGACTGAATTGAGCTAATGATAAGTGAGCAGTGTCGGGAGTTCACGTGTCGCATAGAGTACTTAAACGATAAGGCACGGATATAGGAGTCAGATGGGGCTGGCGGCGCCTGTTCGGACTCGTCCTGGTCCAGGAAGGTGGAACAGATGTAGTCGGAAATTTGGGAGCTGATTTTATCCCCGTCTAGTATCTGGTTCAGCTCCTTGTTGAGCAACTTCTTGAACTGAAAGCGAGCGGGAAATAATGCGATAACATACTGAAACAGGGAAGCGGTCGCCGACGTCTGCAGGGGAACCGTCACGCTGAAGGGCCGTGTACCCAGCACAACCACGGTCTTTTGGGAGTCCTCCGTGGCGTTAGCTGAAGTCCCACTAGAGGGGCTGCCTGCGTCTCCACCGCCTCTGGAACTACCCACCCTCACCAGCAGGGAAGTAGGCACCATTCGCCGAACTTTCTCGGCGGTGAGGGTGTTCTGCACGGACTTTTCGTTGGGCTGGGAGACGTTGTTGTTGTTACTGTCAGATGGGGCTGGCGGCGCCTGTTCGGACTCGTCCTGGTCCAGGAAGGTGGAACAGATGTAGTCGGAAATTTGGGAGCTGATTTTATCCCCGTCTAGTATCTGGTTCAGCTCCTTGTTGAGCAACTTCTTGAACTGAAAGCGAGCGGAAAAAAATGCGATAGCATACTGAAACAGGGTTTGAACAAAACAATCGCCGAAAAGAATCCAACCACTGTCTAATTACTGCATGATGGTCATGCGCAGCCTGATGGGTGACCGTCTCTGTTTACTATCACTGTTAGTCCATACGGAGCTTGTTTGCTCGGGCAAACGAAGTAAGCAGGCTGCCGTCTACTGCTGTGTAAATAAATGGAAAAGTTGAGAAAATGCAAGGTTCTCTGGGCAGGTGAGACTTTTGTCACTTAATTTTTAAAGGTCTATCCGCTAGCTCGTCGCCTGACCTATGCGGAGGGCAAATAGGCCACTCTTCTCGAGGGCCCTCTGACGAAAGTCTCTGTGATTGGTTAATAATTTCAGTCAGGAAATTTGAAGCAGGGAGCCATTTGAAATGGAGAGGTGAATCTTCCCTTTCCATCCATCCATCCATGGATGTTAATCGCGACAATATGCAATTCTTTAAAATAGGGATCTGTCCTAATTTCCGATCTCAGCACATAGGAAAGGTTGATTTGTGCTTTTTTTTATAAATACTATTTTGGAAACGGTCATATGTGGTTATGTAGCCCCACCTGAAGCAAGCAAACTCCAACCACCTGTAATACGGGACCGGTGGTAATAGGGGCTTTTACAGGTAGACCGGGGAACGCACAGGCGACGAGGTCAAGTAGTTGTATGCAAAAAGAGCTATTGGGAATGCGCGGTTGTGTTTTGAGTGGTTGAGAAATAGTTGCCCTAACTCCTAACCCTAACCCCTGACCATAACCCCTAACCAATAACCTCTAGCCATAACCCTAACCTCGACATCATCAATATTGGGTTCATCAGGTAGGGCTACACAACCACATCTTACCGGGCAACCTAACGTTTCGGTTTAGAGGTAGAGTTAGTTTTAGAGCTTGGGTAAGTGTCAGGCCGGGAATTTACAGTGAGTGACCGACCTTATGAAATGTTGGTCGAAATTCTGAAATTTGTTTTTGATTAGGAAGGATTACTTAGGTGGGCTTGTAATAAAGATTAGCATGTGGCACAATCCTATAACATTTCGGACTCGTCAGGATGTCGACTTTTGGATTTACTCCTTCTTCCCCTCATGCAGATACCGTACACGGTAAAAAAAATGACTACTTAAGTAGCACGCATTTTTCCTATGAATTTTCGATGGTCTTATAGATTCTAATATATTTTAAAGAAAATGTGCATGAAACTAAGCTTTCTTTTACTTATTTGGTAGAAAATAGCATTGTCTTTGCATTTTATGCACGAAGAAGGTGTATATTTAGGTTTTAAAAAAGTTTGTAGTTGTGAGATTTTTAAGATCAGGCAATGTTCATGCATACAGGACCGCACAGGTCCGTTTAACCCTGCTCCTATTGAAATGTCCAACATTGTTCGGATCCATTGCGAAATTTTATGAACTCTATGTGGTATCTTCTTAAAGACATAGAGGAATATATGATTTTCCTTACGCGGAAAGCATATCCCTTGTTGACTGAAATCGCTGAAGACTGATGCAATGGCAGATCAGGCTCAAAAATATTCGGGAGTTGGGAAACTTTTTTAAAACCTAAATATGCTCTTTCTTCGTGCATAAAGTGCAAAGGCAATGCTATTTTCTACCAAATAACTAAAAGAAAGCTTATTTTCATGCACGTTTTCTTTAAAATATATTTGAATTTATAAGACCATCGAAAATCCATAGGAAAAATGCATGCATGTTTAGAACCGGCTTGCCATTACACTTGCATTCGGGGTTTCCAAACTACAAGCTGTCTATTTGCCGTATAAGGAAAATCACACATTTCTGCACTGTATGAAGAGGACGCTGTATAGGGTTCATAAAATCTAGTAGTGGATTTGAGTTATATTGTAAGCTTTAAAAGCAACACTAGTAAATGCGGAGGCATGACGTTTTATGAACGGCCATCTCACCGCATTAAAAAGTCTCGCAATTAGAAACTTTTTAAAACCAAATTATACGATTCCTTTAAGCATAAAATTTAGAAAAGACGTAATTTTCTACCAGATGAGTAGAAGAATGAATATTTTTCGCAAGTTCTCTATGAAATATATATAAATTTATAGGAGCGTCGAAAACTAATGAAAAAAATCATATTACATAAGTGGCCCTTTTTACAAGGTGTAGTTTTTTGTAGGCGGCCAAAAAAAGAATTTCACCCAAAAGCCGGCATCTTGAGGTAAGTGAATTATTTTGGGACTATGCTGCACGGTGATTAATATTACCACCTTACGTAGGTAATATTTTCGAGTCGAAAACGCATTTCAGAATTTGGGTCAAAATTGCATGAGTTAGCGCATCTATAGTGTGTCCTTCCTGAAAGTATACAGCTCAGAGAAGACGTGATATTCTACAAATTGAGTGCAGGAGAGTTTATTTTTACTCATGTTTCCTCTAAAATACATGCAGATTTATAAGAACAATGGAAAGCAATGGCAAGAAATGCATACAGCTTGTGTAGACACTTTGTCACGAGTGCGATTTTTACAGCCGCCGAGAAAAAAACGTATCCGAAAGCTATCATCCAGACGCGATCGAAATGTCTCGGGGCCACGCTGCATGATAATCAGTATTACAATTCCGCTTAAGTAATCCTTTCTAACCGAAAGCACATTTCAGCGTTTTGGTTAACATGTCCTCAGATACATCGCGCACTGTACATGGGTGTCTGCCGCCTGCGAACTCAAGGCAGCTATGGCACACTTTCACCAGAAAGCACTTCTTTATAAAAAAAAGCGCAGCCCCACTTTGCAACCCGCGAAAAGGCTGAATTACCATTTTTATACACACACACCACCCCCATCAGTTAAAGTTGCGCACAGTAGTTTAGATACCTTCAACCATTTACAACTGCAATTACGCTGTTCTGAACACCAACTGTTGCAAACGATCGTTCGTCAAGTTGCCCTCCAGGAAAAGCAGATAGATACATCTGCACGATAACTTTGAGGTATTGTGAAGGACGTTCGACTTGAATTACGCCTTATTATGAGACAGACCACCCATTGGCTCTTGACGTGTTCAGGATACGGCAGTAGTCATTAGTTTCGTGTAAGTGGAACGATGCACAATTAGTCCGTTAGCCCATTAACCATAGAAGTTATTTTTGAAAGTCGGCGGCTGAGATTTGTCACGGTTTCTTCTCATAGGCAGCCTAGACGGCAAGTTCGGTTTTGTAAAAACTTCTATGTAGACATCAACAAAAACTGACTTTTTGGGAATTGGCTACGCTCGTGGTACAGGGTCGATCCGATTGCGTAAATTATGAAGTCATTCCCGATACTTCAAATTGTGTTGAGCCCTCACGACTGACACCCCGCTGTTCACAGAGGCAGCACCTCATTCGTGCATTAAATACGTAACTTCATCTTCTGTTAATGTGGTAATGACGGTATTTAGCTGGCTGGCATCTGTTAACTCCGCCCTAGTAAGTGGGCATTGGAAGCGTGGGGCAAGTTAGTTGACAATGTATGAGGTTAGGTGAAACAAAAGGAGGAACTTGTGGCGTATGTCTTAAAACAGGGAGAGTTACCTAGAAAAATGTGCGACTTCACTCAACATTGAAAAGAAAAGCCGTTTAGGAATTTGCTGCTGTACAAATGTCATCTAAGTAGAAAAGAGCCCCTACAACGAGCCACGCGGTAGATGCGCTGAACCGACGGGGGAGCCACATCGGGTTCTGGCAGGCGTTATCAGGCAGGCACACCAACAAAAAACGCCAACATTCGGGGTCTGGTGACACACCCAGTCGCCGGTTCACTTCGGGCCGATTAGGATCCGTGTCGCTCCCTTATTTGTATTGGAGAATAACATCCTGGTCAGAGTCTGTTGCGCTACGTCTAGGTTTACGACGTGCCAGTTACCTGCGCATCCGGTCTTCTTGACTCCATCATGACTACGGGTACAGGTGGGGGGAAAGAGGCGAGGGTGCGGTAGATGCTGCCCAAGTCCACCATCACTTTAAACTAATTCACGCGCAAGTTACCGTCACTGTTCTCACCCTGCTGTGGAGCAAACAGTGGACATCGTCAACAACGACGTTAGAATAGGTAGACAGACAGTTGAAAGCACGAAGATTTGAAGGTAACTTCAGAGAGAATAACCCCATCCGACTGTCAGTAGACTGTGGATCTTGACATATGGGGTTTAATCTTGGCATGCATGTGCCGACTGTTGCAGAACTTACACCGCCAACAAAGATTACTCCCCACGGCCCCACACCTTAATTCAAAATCCGTTATTTTGTGAAATTTTCTTTTTGCTTATTCTTTTATTACTACTCTCGTTTCCGTTGTCGTATAACAGCGTACGACAAGACTTTCGGCATAAATCCATGCCTTTTTTGTTTTTTCGCTCATTTTGTCAGTTTATCGTCTAGCGTGCTGCCCTACCCATAAAACTTCCTTTACCATAAATCACGTATGGCTCGATCCACAGTCTACTGGCAGTTAAGTGGGGTCTCTCTCTCTCTAGATCGTTGCCAATTTGAAAAGGCAACAGAGCACGTCAGCTGATTGGACAATCCTAGAAGGTCGTTTTAGGGACTCGAAACATAATCTATGCCGCAGGATAGGTTTTAGGTTGGTCCTTTAAGATAGCTCAAACCAACAGGAGGCAACATTGAGTCTGTCTTACCTTCTACTGGCCATCACCTAGATAGAGGATATTACGTCAAAATACCACAAATTATTTAAAATTAGGAATCCGCCAAAAGATTGTATTTTCTTCAACGAATAAGGTTAATGAGCCAAAAAGTAACCATTAACAAGGCTGTATGGCATATTTCTTCCCACAGCCTATGGTGTTTCTTTCACTCCAACAACAATTTAACGGTTAGGGAAGGATAACGACTTGGAGTTAACGTAGACCCAGGTACTATTTTACTTGCATTGTCAAAGTGTCTAGCAGAGGAGAGTCTCTTACTGTCAGTGTGGCCATTAGAACACACACACGCACGGCAGTTCGATCGCCGTGACCTTCGATGTCCATCGTGTGACGCACAGCGGGGTGAGGGCAGCGACGGTGAATGCGCGTGAATTAGTTTAAAATCATGGTGGACTTGCGCAGCATCTATCGCACCCTCGCCTCCTCCCTCTCCCCCCTCCCCACCTATATCCGTAGTCATGATCAAGTCAGGAAGACCAGAGGCGGGGGAAGGCGCAGGTGGCTGGCACGGCCTAAACCCGCACCTAGGCGTACCACAACAGACTCTGACCAGGATTTTATATCCCAATACAAATAGGGGAGCGACACGGATCCCAATAGGCGCGAAATGAACCAGCAACTGGGTGTGCCACCAGGCCTCGAATTTTGGCATTTGTTGTTGGTGTACCTGCCCGATAACGCCTGTCGAACTTCGATGTGGCTCCTCTGTCGGTTCAGCGCATCTACGGCGTGGCCCGTTGTAGGATCAAACACACACTTGCGAGGAGAAGGTCATGCCACTGATGGCAGAATGGTCCTCTCTGGCCAGGCCTTTCTGGCTTTCAGCCATAATATTTGGCAAACTTCTTCTCTCGTGCTGTTAGGTAGTCTATAACTGGATTTATCATTCAGATAATCTCATTGGCACGCCTTAGAGACAGCAAATACTAACAAATAAGAGTTGAGCAGTTGTGCAACCTACATCATGTCCTTGAGTTTGTTTACATTATTTAATCCCACGGTTATGCCGAAATCGAGTTTCGCATGGCTACCTAATTTCCCGGCTGTGAAAACTGCATTGTTTAAGACGCCGAATTGCGTTATTCTTAGAAGTATAGAGGACGCTGAATTGGACCAAATCAAAGTCGGGCTGATTTCGTGAGGAAGACGTCACAGTCAGTGCAGTAAGCTCAAAATCAAACTCTCTGATGTCATTCTACTCGACAAGATGTTTCCTAGTGAATAACACTTTATTTCAGCTTTAAAGTGGCCGTCCTGGACATCAAAATGTCAAATAAGTCCGCTTTTAAGAACTAAAATTGTGCAGAAAAGTGTGAAGCTCCAAGCAGTACATTGGCAGAAAAAGTTGTGAGGAGCTCGTCATGTTAGTAGAATGATTGATTGTCGTCATACAGCCATATCAGAGTTCTTCTCTCAATATTTTATATCAATGGCTGCAATTTTGGATGTCAGAATAACGGTTTCTTGGCTTATTGGTCGCCGTGTATGCACTCGCATTCGGAGCATAAATCATGGGTATAGGAGGTACCTTACCGAGATGCCAGATGTAAAGTTTTTGGTTGAAATTAAAAACGCAGGCAAATGAGACTGTTAGTCACAGTGTGGCTGCGTTATTTCTCCGAATTTTTCTCCAAGTTTATTACCACAGCTAAAAAGGTCAGAAGGCTGGAATGTGCCTTTTTTAGCAAAATTACCGGGCATACTGAAATGCCGGAGTAATAACTCTTGGTCATCTGCCGAAATAAGTGGTTTTTGCGGTTTAATGTAAACCTCAGGCAGATGGAGCTTTCGTTTGCCAATGATTGCGCTGAATGTCCTGATTGTACCACAAAGTACTCTAAGCATATTGCGAACCGAGATGTTAGTACTACAAAAATGGAGACATTACGCTGCTTAACTAACCATTCCAAAATCTGAACGAGCATCACATCACAGTTCCTAAACGAAACATGTCCTTCTTTCAAGTAGGAAATTAGGGAAGACTTATCTTCTTGTAAAGAGTAAAAGAAATGCAATCTTTCAGTACCCTTCCTCTCAACTGCCATGTAATTTATTTAAGCTTCGGAAAACAAACATGGAAACGTCAAACTAATTATTTGCCAGTCCGTACGACGGATGCGAACGATTAGAAATTGGATGTGTTCTGATACTGTTTTTTTGCCAGTCGTCCTAAATTAATTTTTGTTAAAGATATTTTTAAGAGGGGCCACAGTATGATCAATTTTAATGCTCTCCCTGCCGGCCATTTTGAGACAACTAGGCGTTCTTTCAACCCTAAGAATACTGCTTTCGGAAGTTCCAAACATCCAGTCAGCATAACTATCCTAAACCCAGATTCACTGCGTTTATACTGATCTTACTTCTCAACTTAACCCAAGAAAGATAATCGTCAGTGCAACTCCTGCCATCTGATCGCAACTGCCGCTTAGGCCGCAAAACGTAGACTCATTGACTTTTTCTAAATATGACTTACTTTGACCCACTGTATATTCGCTATCATCATTCATTTCTCATTTTTCCCTTATAATTTACAACCCGTTAATAAAAACAACTAATCGGTCTGCATATCAGTTATACAACATAGACCTCATCGCCTCCCCCAACGCTCATCTTCCCCCAATAGCAAAACCGTTCTAAGAAAACTCTAGATGGGCTCGGGCGCGTTGGCTGACCGGACCTAATGTCCCCCTTCCCCGACCGAGCCGATCGAGGTTCAGACGTAAACTCAGCCGCAGTGAAGAGACGCACAATGACTACCTTCACTCGATTTTGCTCACAAGTCGAGATAGCTTCCGACCTATGACCACTTCACTCAACGGAGCTTCGCGGAGAGTTAGGTGCCTGACGAGGTCAGGATGGAACGATATTTGGCGAGACTGTTCAGCCACCAGAGAGAGATTACCGGCTCCAGCGATAATGGCAAGGAACTCACGATTCCCATGTGAGACGGCTTAAGGTGCAAAAAGCTCACGCCGACCTAAAGGTAGCCATTCGCTATGCAATGCCCCTCCTCCCCCTTTCCTGTTGTAACTAGGGCTGATGCGCGAAATCTGTGCCCCGGCGGTGACGTAAAACACGTGCTCGGTGGACGGGGGGCGAGACAGTGCGCTTCGTTAGATGACCTGCCAGGGCGGGTGGGGGGAGGCTCGAATGCGAAAAAGGACAAATAAGTATAATGGTGAGACCGGGATGCGGTGGGGAGGGGGGGGGGGTTAGGAGAGAAATAGAGCAGCGACAGAAATCGCAGAGGCGAAGTACATTTCATCCCCGAGCGCTCTGACCCAGGAAGTGCTCAGCTCCCTACGCGTGCAGGCGTGTATGAAATCGCACATGCACAGGCTGCCTCTGATCGATAGGCAGACAGGTTAGTTAGCCAATCAGAAAATCAGAAACTTCTGCAGACATTCAGTGGACACCCGCGCCTGTCCTTTCGATGTCTGCGTTGGTGTGAATGGACCAGTGCAGCGTAACCGTGGCCGGATAGCGCCCTACCCCCTGGCCGCGTGAGTGTGCACCTGCAGTGTGTCTCTGCGTTATCCCCGTCTGTCTGTCTGTCCATCTCCCGCACCCCTGAAGTGACACTGCTGTTGCCGTCGTCGTCGTTGTCGTCGCCACTACCCAAGCGGATCTCATTTTTGTAGCCGGGCCAGGGTGTGCAAACAGCCGTCTGGTTTATATACTCTGCCAAGGTCAAGATCCCCCTACACACCCCTTTTTCTGGATAAGCACACACGCACATACACACACACACACGCACACACACGAAGCCAGACAGACCACGGCACGCGGCCCCTCAGTGCGCATTCGCACGCGTCAAGTCAACTTGAAGACGCGGTGCCATAAGCCCCACGTACGCACCCGCCCACGATGTAGTAATCTCGAAATGAGACCTACTTCGCATCCCGGCAGTGCCATAGTAGTAATATGACGCAAAGGCCTCCTCAGCCGTCACGCCCTGGAATACTATCAAGGACTACATGTTCAGTTCACAGTGGATAATTTTCAAATTTGCTTCGACGACACAATCAGCATCTTCACCATCCGTAAGATTCCGATCTCGGGACCTCCGTGAGGACACACCACACTTAAGCCAAGAAGGCTGCAATGTGGCGACTCTGTTGTGTGCTGAGTAAGAAAGAGTCACGGATAACAGGACCACAACAACAGCAACAACAGCAGGAACTACAACAATCACAGTTAGAGAAACCAGAATCTATCCAGCCGCCTGCCATTGTCACTGAGTTCCCTTCCAATCCAAACAGCCCGTCTAAAACCAGTTTGAGATCCGCTC